GAGATATTGGAACACCGCTATCATGTCTCCCCTAGTCCTAGGTTACGGATAAGATCGGGGAAGGAGTGATTGGAGAGCCTGCCAATTGATCTAATTGGCCAATGTGACCTGTGACACTTAGGGGTGGGGGTCATTTCTTATTTTAATTATACTGAAACCACATGAATTATTTAGAGTTGGTTTTCCTTTAATCCATGCTGATAAGATGTACTGAATAAAGAAGTCCTTTGAGTTGGATTCAAGGCTTGGAGTTCAGATTTGCTTGGGTTCATTAATTGGAACCTGGACACCTCCTGTGTTGGAGCATCCACAGTTTCTGGAGGCAAGTTGTTTCACTGATTAAATGTCAGGAATTTTCTCCTTAGTTTTAGGTTGCTTCTCTCCTTGATTAGTTTCCATCCATTGCTCCTTGTCAAGTGGTGGGATTCAGCCGGTTCACACCTATCCGGGAGAACCGGTTGTTAACTTTCTAAGCAGTTTGGAGAACCGGTTGTTGGAAGAAATCTCATTTTGGTTTTTTCCCACTTGACTGGGCTAATCCTGTAAGGAAGGCAGGAAGGAAACATTCTGGTGTTGCTTCTATCCTAATCCCTATTGCCTTGCTTACAGAAACTGCCTCTCCGGTTAACCCTTACTACATTGTAACAGCTAAAGCAAAGCGCCCATTGACGTGAGAGATGTTGAGTTGGCCACGCCCACATGATCACATGACCACTGAGCCACGCCTACCCAGCTGGTCACGAGGGCAGAGAACCGGTTGTTAACTTTCTAAGCAGTTGGGAGAACCGGTTGTTAGAAGAAATCTCCTTTTGGTTTTTTCCCACTTGACTGGGCTAATCCTGTAAAGAGGGCAGGAAGGAAACATTCTGGTGTTGCTTCTATCCTAATCCCTATTGCCTTGCTTACAGAAACTGCCTCTCCGGTTAACCCTTACTACATTGTAACAGCTAAAGCAAAGCACCCATTGATGTGAGTGATGTTGAGTTGGCCACGCCCACATGATCACATGACCACTGAGCCACGCCTACCCAGCTGGTCACGAGGGCAGAGAACCGGTTGTTAACTTTCTAAGCAGTTGGGAGAACCGGTTGTTAGAAGAAATCTCCTTTTGGTTTTTTCCCACTTGACTGGGCTAATCCTGTAAAGAGGGCAGGAAGGAAACATTCTGGTGTTGCTTCTATCCTAATCCCTATTGCCTTGCTTACAGAAACTGCCTCTCCGGTTAACCCTTACTACATTGTAACAGCTAAAGCAAAGCACCCATTGATGTGAGTGATGTTGAGTTGGCCACGCCCACATGATCACATGACCACTGAGCCACGCCTACCCAGCTGGTCACGAGGGCAGAGAACCGGTTGTTAACTTTCTAAGCAGTTGGGAGAACCGGTTGTTAGAAGAAATCTCCTTTTGGTTTTTTCCCACTTGACTGGGCTAATCCTGTAAAGAGGGCAGGAAGGAAACATTCTGGTGTTGTTTCTAGCCTAATCTTTATTGCCCTGCTTATAGA